GAAAAAAGGAAGCGGAGGGAGAGCTGAGAGGTGCCGAGGACCTTGGGGGCATACCGCCCGAATGCGCTGGGTACCCCCATTTCACTCCCGACTCCTGCACTGTCCTCACAGTGACCAGCCCGTCCATTGTTGTGGCTGATATGCCGATCCATCTCACCAAGGGTCTGCCTCGCCCTCGCTGGCCCTCTGCTTCACCAAACATGATGTTTTCCTTCACCCGTTGATCCCTCCTGATGACGTGTCCAGAGCAAGGGAGTTAAACAGTAGTCTGTTCTGCACCATAGGGTTTCCACTGACAGATTTTTGGAAATCGATCACCAGGCCTTTCTTCCTAGTCTGTCTTAGTCTGGAAGGTCTGCTGAAACTTGCCCACTGTGGGTGACCCTGCTGGTATTTGAAATAACGGTGGCATAGCTTCCAGCATCACAGCAACACGCAAGTCCCCACAGTACGACAGACTGACAGACGGGGGGGGTTTGTTACTTTCATCTTTGTCCTTTGGAGTACCGCAGTGCAGTATAGTAGCCGCTGGCCACAAGGGGCCGTCTGAATTTAATTACTAAAATTAGTTACAATCATATGAACTGGGAAAGTCTGTTTCCCGGTCGCACCAGTCACACTGGAAGTGATCGAAGGCTGCACGTGGCTGGTGAACACTTCACTGGGCAGTGCGGATGGCAACGTGTCGTTCATCGAGGAAAGGTCTTCTGTTGGGGATGCCGACTCAGTTATTTATGGGTGAAATGAAAAATGTTCACGGTGGCCGTGTGGGGCCCAGCTCTGTGCCTGGCGATGCTGGAGATGGGGGGGGGGCCAAGGCCTGAAGGGGGCGTGGGTGCTGGGACCAGAAGGACAAGAGGCAAGGGGTGCGGAGACCCCTGAGGCAGAGCTCCAGTAGAGGGCGGGGCCAGCTCACATGTACACCGGGCTGCGAGGCAGGAGCTGGGGGAGATGGAGGGAGATGAGGGCTCAGTGGTTTGTTTTTTAACCTATGGGCAATGGGGAGCCATGTTGTTAGGTATCGTTGAGTGGGTTGTGACTCATAGTGACCCCGTGTACAACAGAACGAAACACCGCCCGGTCCTGCGCCGTCCTCACAGTCGTTGTTATGCCTGAGCCCATTGTTGCAGCCACTGTGTCAATCCATCTCGTTGAGGGTCTTCCTCTTTGTCGCTGACTCCCTACTTTACCAAGCATGATGTCCTTCTCCAGGGACTGGTCCCTCCTGATAACATGTCCAAAGTATGTGAGATGAAGTCTCGCCATCCTTGCTTCTAAGGAGCGTTCTGGTTGTACTTCTTCCAAGACAGATTTGTTCATTCTTTTGGCAGTCCGTGGTATATTCGGTATTCTTTGCCAACACCACAATTTGAAGGTGTCAGTTTTTCCTCAGTCTTATTTATTCATCATCCAGCTTTCACATGCATATGAGGCGATTGAAAACACCATGGCTTGGGTCAGGTGCATCTTAGTCTTCGAGGTGACATCTTTGCTTTTCAACACTTTCAAGAGGTCTTTTGCAGCAGAGTTGCCCAGTGCAATGCGTCGTTTGATTTCTTGGCCAATGCTTCCGTGGGTGTTGATGGGGAGCCACGAGACATGTTAAATGGAGGGAGGACATCCTGGTTTTGTTTCTGAAAGCTCCGTTAGATGCAAGGCAGTGGGGTGGCACCTGGGAGGAAGCTACCGCAGGGACCCAGAGCTGTGGCTGTGGGGATGGAGAGCCGGTGTAGACGCTGACTTGTTCTGAGGCCACCTGGGGCAGGAGGGAAGGGAAGAGGATGGGTTAGATCTCTAGCTTGAGCACCAGGGCGAGGGCAGCACGTCACTGAGCTGGTGCTGCGAGAACCAAACCCCCAGGCCGGCTGTGCTGGATGCGCTGTGTCTGTGGTCCTGTGCCTAGTGTGTGTTTTGCCGGCCCAGCACTGCAACCCCACTCCTGGTACCGGAATCTGCTGACTGGACTTTGCACAGAGGCAGTGGAAACGGGCCCTGGCTATCTTCTTCCAGACTGGAATCAGCCGACTTTTTCTGTAAAGGGCCAGAGTGTGAATATTTTCGGCTTTGCTGTGACGACTCCACTGCATTTGTAGTGAATGCTGTTATAGAGGATATGTAAACACATGGATGTGGCCGTGTACCAGTAAAACTTTATTTACAAAAACAAGTGGTGGGCCGGGTTCGGAATCGAGCCTGGGACGTGGGTGTTCAGTCACAACAAGTATTTACTGAGCACCTTCTGCTATCAAATCCCACTCCTTTATTTGCAAACGGGGCAGGGGGCAAGGGCCAGCCCACAGTCACATGGCAAGGGGGTGACCCACTGGGGCCAGGGTAGGGAAGTGACCTGGGCAGGTGAGCGGTCTTGTTGCCCTTGGGTGACTCTGATTGGAACCGAAGCTTCCAGGGATTGGGCAGCTTGCCTGGGGTCTTCAGATCCACGGGGCTCCGTACCCAAGGCTGCCTGCCCCCTGCCTTTCTCCTTGGCCCAGGGAGGGTCCCCTCCCCACCCAGCACCCTCTGCTCTGCCCACCCTCCCCCTTCCTCTTCCAGGGAAGTCAGGGTTGGACCCTTGAGCCTGCGAGAGATGTTACGGAGAGATAGTCTCTCCCGGGCACCCTAGATCAGCAGTTCACCTCCAGCATTTGAAAAAACAGAAAGAAAGAAATCATAAAAAAATTACACTCCAACAGCAGTGTCTTATTCTATTAGTACATTTTAATTAGAACACGAGCGGGGAATGCGCTATGAATATTCATGGCCGGGTTATTAAAATGCATAATTAATCGGGGGGTTAATAACTATTAATGGCAGTGCTGGGGGAGGGGCTAGTCCCTATTTTTGTCTTTTCTGGGAGGAGAGAGGAGAGTTTCGGCCAGGGCCTTGCTGGGGCTGGTTTGGGGGCATCGGATCTCCAGGAGAACCCCCTGCTGTTGCCTCACCTGCCGACGGGTGGAAGGCTGTGGGTGCCGGGTTTGAGTGCTGCTCTGGCCCCAGCATGCCCTGGCCGTGACCTTGGGGCTTGACCTCTAATCTATTCGATTGAGGATCCTGGTGCCTCCACACGGGGCGGGAGGGACACCCAGAGGAGGGGCGCCGCGTCTCGGGCAGGGCTGGAGGTCAGGGGCTCACCTGGTGGTACAGGGGTAGTAGGCAGGGCCAACCATCACAGACAGGCAAGGAGGGAAACAGGCCCAGAGAGGGCTGGAGCTTTGCCCAAGGTCACCCAGCCACTCTCTCCCCAGGACACAGGTGGGGGTCTGGGACCTTGGGGTGCAGACCCCCAATGCTGGTGGCAATGCTGGGGACCATCAAAGCCCCCCTACCCACCGAGGCAGCTTCCCAGCCCCCGACCAGCAATCAAGTTGGAAATTTTTAATTAGAAAACACAATCTAAATGATACATATGAATATTCATTAGCTTGGAGATTAATATGCATAATTATGCAAATCAGACAGCAATTAAACACCAATTCTCCGGGGGGATGATTAACACAAAGGCACCGGAATAGGAGGATGCCATTTGAAAGAAGTTTCTGGCAGCGCTGGGTGGGAGGGTACCTGCAGGGCCAGATGGGGGTACGTGGCGGCCGTCCCCCAACTCTGTCCTGTTCAGTGTCCAGCCGGTCACCCTGTGGGGTCCAGGTGGGAGCCCAGGGTGGGGAGGAGGCCCATGAGGTGCAGGCACAGCCTTCAGGCCTGGCATGGACCCCCTGGTCACCTTCCCAGCTCTTGGGATCCTCTGGATTTGGGGTTGGATGTGGACACCCTGAGACCTGCAGAGTAGGGTCTGTTTGTAACCACACTTTGCCGAGGCAGAAACTGGGGTTGGCTCTGTTGCATGGCTGAGAGGCTGGGGGCTGCCCCCTTCTGCTTCCCCAGGGGCCTGGTTAGGACCAATGGAAGGGCCGGAGCCCCCCTGCCCCCCCTCCCCCCCAGGGACCCAGGCAGGATCTCCAGGGAGAAGGGCGGTGGCTGCTAGGCCCTGAGATCCCCCAGCCCAGGGCAGTTGCCTGTTAGGGTGTGTGAGGAGATAAGGAGGCCACCCTGCCCCACCCCAGGGACCAAGGTCCTCTTCCCTATGCTGGTTAACTCCTGTGGCACTGTGGGTCTCCCTCCTCCCCGGGCTGGCCTCCTCCCCAGGCCGGCCTCCTCCCCGGGCCTCCCTCCTCTCTGGGCCAGCCTCCTCCCCAGGCCTCCCTCCTCTCTGGGCCAGCCTCCTCCCCGGGCCTCCCTCCTGCCTGGGCCAGCCTCCTCCCCGGGCCTCCCTCCTCCCTGGGACGGCCTCCTCCCTGGGACGGCCTCCTCCCGGTCCTCAGCTCCTGTACAGACTACATTCCACCCTCTCTGCCTGCCTGCTGAGCAGTCAGTGGTAGCTGCTACTATGATTTTGGAGTCCCTGGGTGGTACAGACGATTAAGTGCTCGGCTGCGTACTGAATAGTTGACAGTTCGAGTCCACCCAGAGGCATCTCGGAAGAAAGGCCTGGCGATCTGCTTCCGAAAAACCAGCCATTGAAAACCCTGTGGAGCCCAGTTCTACTCTGACACAAGTGGGCACTTTGAGTCAGAGTCGACTCCACGGCAGCTGGGTAACCAAGCTATGATTTCGACAAAGGGAGGAATAACCAAAGTGACGGTGAGGGGAGCAGGGAGACAGCCTCTTTCCCGAGAGCGCGCCTCTTCATCCATCACCCAGTCACCAGTGCCCTGGTGAGATTTACCCATGGGGTCAGAAGAGACTGAACCTAACTTGGACCCCCAGCCCTGTATGGTCAGGGCTGGGCCGGAGGGAGGGACCTGGGGCTGCAGGATGACGCTTCGTGTGGGCATAGTGGCTGGAGCTTTGCTGGGTGGATAGGAGTTTGCCAGCGGAGCTAGCCAGTGGAAGAGCATTCTGAGCTGAGGAGCTGGAGGTACGTGAAGCCCGAGGCTGTCTGGGGCTTTGGAGGTGGACAGGGCTGCGGTGACCCTGACTTTTCCCTCTCGCCTCCTCCACAGGTCTGGAGGAACGGTCCTGCTCGGGCTCCTGGGGCACCAGTGACCAGAACAGTTCCTCCTTCGACCCCAGCCGGGTGAGGAGCCCCTGCGAGGCCCTGGACCTGGGCTTCCCTTCCCAGGGTGCAGGGGGGTGCACTTGGGGGAAGAAACAGGCTCAGAGGGGAAGTCGGACCCCAGCCTGCTCTCCGGGGGCTTCCGGCTCAGACATGGGTTCAAGTCTTGGATCTGACCTGCCTGCCTCCCTGAACCTCAGCTTCCCCAGCTGTAAAACGGGAGTGCAGTGGGGCCCCAGGGTCTCCAGCCTCCCTCAACCTCCCGTCTCTCCGTAGACCTACAGCGAAGGCACCCACTTCAGTGAGTCTCACGGCAGCCTCTCTTCGTCCACATTCCTGGGACCTGGCCTCGGGGGTGAGTGTCTGGCAGGAGGCAGCCCCACCCCCTTTTCCTGCACATGTGGGGTCCTTGGCCTGCCCAGCATGCCTGGCTGCCCGGCACATCCACAGTGTCCACCCAGAATGTGTTGGCAGTGACGCCTCTGTCCTTTGGAGCAGGACACAGTGGATGGAGCCTGGGACACCGGTCTTTGTGACCCAGTGACCCACCCCGTTCCAGTGTGGCCTTATCTTAACTAACCCTCCCTGAAAAGACCCCTTTTGCAAACACAGTTACGCCCACAGGTTCCGGGCTCAGGACTCAGCCCACAGCTCCAGGGCTCCATCCTCTGGGGACCATCATGCTCCAGCCAGCACCCGGGGGCTCGAGAGGCTTCAGGGTGATGGGCAGAGCAGGGACTTGGGACGGTTGGGGGCCCGGATCCTGGGGGTCAGCCCCCATTTCCCCTCAGAGCTCAGCTCTGAAATACCAGTAAAACCAATTGCCATTGAGTCAGCCCCAACTCATGGTGACCCCACATGTGTCAAAGTAGAACTGTTCCATAGGGTTTTCTGTGGTTGACTGTTTGGCAGCAGATTGCCAGGCCTTTCTTCCAAGGCGCTTCTTGGTAACTGCGACCCTCCAACGTTTTGGTTAGCGGCTGAGCGCATTATAGGGATCTTAATTTTGTCCCTGGATGATCCTGAGAGGCCCCCCCGGGGTGCGGGTGGCAGGGCAGGTGATTGGCAACGTTTATCGTTACCATTTATAAAACTGCAGCTTCGACAGTGGCCTCTTAGATGAAGTCGAGGCTGCCTGCCACGGAGATTGAACATGTTGCTGGGTTTAGATGCTCGGCACGGGGTAGGAATCGTGGGAGCCTCAGAGCTATTGACTGAAGGGGAAACTGAGGCCCAGAGGGTTTGCAGGGCCCCCACCTTTAGCCCTAGACTCCGCGGGAGCAGCCCCTGGTTTGAACGCCACTGAGGTCACAGCACACAGTAGGAGCTCAATAAGTGCTTGTGGCCTGAGTGAGCCGCATAGTGGGCAGTGTCTAGCACCCTCTGTGTGCCATATGGCACTTCGTGCCTGCTTCCTGGATGAGGAAGGTGAGGCCTGGCCCTGCATGTAGCCTGTGGCCCTCTCGGCGCCTGCACCTGCTGGCATGCCGGGTTCCCCTCTCCCCTTCTTCCTCCTGATGTCTTCCTGCTGCCAGCTGGCCCAAGGCAGGCAGGGCTGATGGGGCAATTCCCGCGGCCACCCAGGTGAAATGCCAGAGCCCAGCTGTGCCTGGGCCTGATGTCCTGCAGCTAAGGAGCTCAGAGAGGGCGGCGTGGAGCCCACACGCAGCGAAGCTGCTATAGTCTAGTTGAACTTTTATCATAAAAAAAAGACAGGTTTTTTCCTGGTTTGAGAATAACTCAGATTAGTCGGCCAAGCGTTCTGATTCCTCACACACAGCAAGGCTGTTGATGGTCCATACTTAGTTGAGATCCCAGGTTAAGCCAAAGAGGGACTTACTGGGTCAGGTACTGAGTAACCCAGAGGGCCTGCTTCAGGCGAGGCTTGATCCAGGAGTCTGAAGCAGTAGGAGCCTCTCCATGCAGGCATCCCTCTCAGGCAGACTGCCCCTCATAGCCCCAGGCCTCGCCTGCTCGCTTGGGGGATGAAACCCTTTCTCACCAAGTAGTGTGAAACAATATCTGTTGCTTCGTGAGTTCGTCTGTGAATGGAAGACGAGGCTGTCTCTGTTGGCCTGGAGCTAGGGGTGAGGTCTGTGCTGATGGAACTTTGAGAGGCTGACCCAGACAGATGCCGTGTATACGGGGCCACAGGCTCCTGACAGATTCTCCAGCCAGGGATTCCCGAGCCTGTCCACTGGGGCGACAATGCCTCGTGTGAGCCCAGCTCCCCAGGAGTCAGCACCCCCCAACCCTGAATGCAGGAAACCCAGGCTCGAAAGTGCAGGGGCTGGTCCAGGCCCATGTGCAACCAGAGCAGGCTGTGGCCTAGCTGAGCTCTGGGTTGTTGTACTTTGGGGCAAGGGACATGTTGGGGGTCCTGGCGGACAAGGCGTTGGCTCACTCACATTTGCAAACTATGGCCCCTTGCTTGTCCCCAGGCCCGTCCCTGTTGGCAGGAAGACGGGGAAGCCGGCCTGGAGAGGCTGAGGCTCCGCCCAGTGTCCCCCTGCAGCGCTCTCAGCCATGCATGCTGATTGAGTGCCAGCTGTATGCAGGCCCCCCTGCCAGCTGCCAAGTTGGCCCCAACAGCCCCTTGGGCGTGCTTTCCTACGGGGCTGGCTCCCAGTGACCCACCGTCTCTCCTCCCTCCAGGCAAAGGCGGTGAGCGGGCTGCGTACACGGCCTTCGGGAGAGACACCAACGTCGGCAGCTTGAGTCAGGTGAGCGGCACGTTCGCAGGGTGGGACCGGGACTGGGCACGGGGACCCCGTTGGGCTCACAGGCTCAGCACCCACCTGTCTGCAGACAGCCTGGGGCCACAAGGTGGGCGGGGCTGGGCAACACCCCGTTATTCCGATGGGGTGCAGGCCACGGCCACTTGCCCAAGATCACCTGGTGGGGCTGCTTCGGGGACCGGCGCCCCCCTTTGTCCTTTTCTCCCACTTTTTCTTCTGACATGTTTTAACTGGGAATCAGTCTGTCCCGGCTTCCTCCTGTCCGCAGAAGCTCTGTGGCTGGGCTCAGTGGCTGTTTGTTCCCTGGCAACGGCTGAAATAGCACTGGGCCAGGCCAGGCTGGCAGGCAGGGCCGGGAAGCAGGAGGGAGGCCGACTAGATATCAGGAGGCCGTGGTCCCTGCCACGGCTCCCCTGCACGGGTGCAGCTCGGGGGGCTCAGAGAGACAGGGAAACTGAGGCAGCCCTGAGGGCTCTCCCCGTGCCGTTCCCAGGCTAGCCCCAAGGTCCAGCCCTCCACCCTGTACCTGCCCGGGGAGGCCCCTCGCCCAGGACAGACTGTTGCCTCTGCCGGTCCTGTCTGCGAGGCTGGTGGAGGGCCGTGGCTGGACCCAGCGGTCCCCAGCGTGGCCCTTTGTGGCCTGGTTACCCCCGGGCCCCTCCCGCCACATCCGAGGGTTTCATTCCTGCCTCTGCCTACAGCTCCCAAATTTCAGGGCACAGCCTTGTCCCTTGCCTGCGTCACGCTGACCTGAGTCAGAATGACAGCTGCGCAGCTATTAGGGCACCACCTGCAAGCCACAACTCCCATCGCCCCGTCGGTCCCCACGATGCCCCCGAGCCGTGCGAGCGGCCAGTATGCCTGTTCCACAGACAGGGAAGCTGGGGCGTCGAGGGGGCTGCACGTGTGAGCTGCAGAAGCGGGCCTCGAACCCGGGTTTCCGAGGTCTTCCCAATGTGTGTGTCAACCCAGGCGTCGAGCAGGGACTACCCCCAACCACGTCCTCCCCGCATAGGGAGCTGGGGCCGTGAAACCAGAGTCCACGCACGGCAGCCGGTGCAGTGGGGGACGTCTTGTTCAGACTAGCACAGACCAGCTTCAACTCTTCAGTAAAAAAAGCCAGAAACAAGGCACACGGCACAGAACAGCCAGCTCCCGTCGGCGCTGAGGCACAGAGTTTGCTCGCTCCGCTGCCCTGAGCCTGGGTGGCGTCTTGCGCTCCGCGGGCAGTGGTGTGGTTCAGTCTTTCTCACGAGAACAACGGGGCGGCATGTGACCGTGGGCGCCTTAGGTCAGGGAGACGGGGCCGGTGCTTCGCTGCTTCGGGTGGTGGAAGGTCAGCCACGTCAGCGGGGCAGGAAGGGGTCACGGCCCCTCCGCAGACGGGGCCGGGCCTAGCTGTCTGTAGGGTTGGTGGTTTTGTTTCAGTTTTGCCGGCATTGACCTGGGGCCCGGCAGGGGGCTGCCCCTCATGGCGATCTGTCCCCCTCCCCCCAGGCTGGCTTCCTGCCGGGCGAGCTGGCCCTCAGCAGCCCTGGGCCGCTGTCCCCCTCAGGTGTCAAAGGCAGCGCCCAGTACTACCCCTCCTTTCCCGGCAACCCCCGGCGGAGACCCGCAGACGGCAGCAGCCTGGGTGAGTGGGTCCAGAGGTGACGTCCAGGATCGAGTGAAGCAGCCCTTGTCCCCCGCTGGCCAAGGGGACAGAAAGGGCATTAGTGTCAGCCTACTGCATGGCTTCTGGTTCCCAGCTGGACGCTGGGGTCATGGCAGGCACCAGGGCTGACCTGGCCCTTCCTCAGGGTCGGGCTGGTTGGAGGGACGGACAGGGAACCAAGAAACTGGAAAACGAGATAGCTGGGGGTGGAGGGGCGGTGGCCTGGCAACGGCGACCCACGTCCGAGACCCCAGCCCTGCGCTGCAGACCACCGCTCAGGGGTCCGGCCGGGTCTCCGACCCGTGTGGATGGACCCGGCTTTCATTTCAATCCTCGTTCTCAAGAGGGAAGTTCAGGGGCCCCTTGCCCTGGGTGTGGGAGGGGGGCTGTTTCTGTAACTGCCAGCAGTGATGGTGTCCCCTGTACCAGAGCCCGGGGCTGCTGTGTCCTCTGCGTCTTCCTGACTGTTCCAGGCAGGCGGGGCAAGGCTGGGGTCGAGCCACTCACTCCTCTCTCTCCTGACAGATGCCCAGCCCAAGAAGGTCCGGAAGGTGCCGCCAGGGCTCCCGTCCTCGGTGAGTTGTGGGGCATAGGGCGGGGCCCCATAGGCCGAGGCTGTCACCTCCCCAGCCAGGCGACATGTCAGGGGCACTGACCTTTGTGTGACCACCTGCGAGTGGGCAGACCCCTCGTGAGTCCTGAGCCAAAGTTGCTTGGCGCTTGGCCGGACTTGACCTCACCTCTGAGGGACAATCAGGGAAGTTCTTCCTTTTGTCTAACCTTGCTCCCTCTTGCTTTAAGGCAAAGTTGCTTCCTATGGCCACAGCCTCCTAAGAAAGCGTGGGAGTGGGGGTCCTGTGAGCAGGTGCAGGGGGGTACCTTGGGGGCCCATTTAGAGAGGCCCCGTCTCGGCACCTGGCGGTTGACAGGTTGCAGGCCCAGCAGACAGAGCCTCCCCATCACCATCTGACGGTGCTGAGCTGCCCACGATTTAAGCATGTTGGAAGGAAAGGCAGTTTGCTGGGTTTCCCGGCTTGGCATGGCCACCACCGCACCCTGCGGGCTGACAGCACTCACTGTGGGCCCAGGATTCAGGATTAATGTCCAGTGCGGTCAAACCACTCGTCCAGGGCGCTGGGGCCTAGAGGCATCGAGGCGCGCTTAGGTTGTTTAAGGCCTTGATTGGTGATGCTGCCGTTCTGCTCCCTGCCACTCCGAGCTCCACTTTTCCTTCCCTGGGGCCCTGCCCCAACTTCCTAGAACATCAGAGCTGAGTGCTCTGGGCCTGTCTGTCGCATCTGACACTCGGCAGTCAGACCGTAGCTCTCCACTCCACTGTCGGGGGCAGGCATCACCGGTTGATCCCAGCACTTTCCCACTGGGCCCAGGCAATGCCAGCCGATCAGTTGCCAGCCGATCAGTTGGTGGCAACTACGGAACCCCTTGGCCATTACTAGTCTGGGACAGCCACCGCCAGGCGTTAATCCTGGGCTTTGTGTCTGAGGCCCCATAGTCTTGTGTGCTCAGAGCTGGGACCGTAGAGGTTCCAGCACTAGGAGAGCCCAGAGGGGGAACAAAGAAGGAGGGACTGAGGGCATTGGAGCTGGGGTTTTGATGGGTCAATAGGAGTTTTCAGAATGCAGGTGAGAAAAGGCATTCCAGTCATAGAGCCCAGCGTACAAAGGCCTGAGGCACAAGAGTTCGGAGCATTTTGCGAGTAGGGGTTGGAGAAGGAGCAGTGGAGAGAGACTGTGACGCCACTGGAGCCTCGAGTGCCGGGCTACGGGGCTGGGCTTCGTCTGAGGGGAGAGTTTAGAGCAGGATAGGGGGTGAGGATGGCCCGGTGGGCTGCCGTCTGGGATGGTCTTGGCTGGGGATAGGGCCAGCATGGGGCCGGGGGGTCAGCTAGGCCTTGCATGGGCCCTCCACCTGACCGCCCCCCCCCACCAGGTGTACCCGCCCAGCTCAGGTGATGACTATGGCAGAGACGCCGCCGCCTACCCGGCTGCCAAGACCCCCAGCAGCGCCTACCCTGCCCCCTTCTACATGGCCGGTGCGTGGAGGGGCCTCGCCTGGGACGGGGGCGGGGGGCCGGGCCAGGGGCCCCTGCCCGCCGCTCACCGCCCGCCTCTCTGCAGATGGCAGCCTGCACCCCTCGGCCGAGCTCTGGGGCCCCGCAGGCCAGGCGGGCTTTGGGCCCATGCTGGGCGGGGGCTCGTCCCCGCTGCCCCTCCCGCCTGGGGGTGGGGCCGGTCCCGCGAGCAGCAGCGGTGGCGCGTTCGGCGGCCTGCACCAGCACGAGCGCATGGTAGGACCGCGGCGGGGTGCGGCGAGCGGGGGGTGCGGCCCGCCGGCCCCGTGCGCCCCGTGACCCTCCTTTCCCACCCTCATGCAGGGCTACCCGCTGCACGGAGCTGAGGTCAACGGCGGGCTGCCGGCCGTGTCCAGCTTCTCCTCGGCCCCCGGAGCCCCCTACAGCAGCGTCACCAGCCACACACCCCCCGTCAGCGGGGCCGACAGCCTCCTGGGTACGGGCCGGCCCTCACACCTCTCCCCGGGTGGGGTCCCCGTCCCCAGGGGGACACGCAGGGCAGGGCCCGCGGGCTGTGGGGCTGATGGTGTCTTCAGCGAGCGCAGATGTTTCCTACGGCCCTGGGAGCCAGGCCGTGATTATCTTCCCTAACAACCACCCTGTGCGTTGGGCTCGGGTTCCTCACACCCAGCCCAGGGGCATCTGGAAACAGCTCCGTGAGGAGTCAGCTTTACAGCTGGGGAATCTGAGGCTCAGAAAGGGGACTCCCTTGCCCAAGGGCCCACGGCCCCGTCTGTGAAGGCATGTGGCTAGACATCAGGCGGGACTTTTCTTGCCATGAGTCAGAAATTGGCTGGACTCAACCTGAGCCCCCAGTCAACTGGGGCATCCAAGCCAGGCGCGCAGCCCTGAGGTCAGGCCTCCCCTCTCTCCACCCACAGGCTCACGAGGGACCACGGCTGGCAGCTCCGGGGACGCACTCGGGAAGGCGCTGGCCTCGGTGAGGAGCGGGACTTGGGGTGGCGGGGCTGGCGGGTCAGGGACCCCACGAAAGGCTGGCCCCTGACCGCTCGGCGGCCCACCTGTCTCTCCCTGTTCCCGCCGCAGATCTACTCCCCGGATCACTCAAGCAATAACTTCTCATCCAGCCCCTCGACCCCTGTAGGCTCCCCACAGGGCCTGGCAGGTTTGTGAGGGGATGGGAGTCGGGGGGTCTAGTGCCTGCAGCCTGGGACAGCGGGGAAGGGGGGTGAGGCTGCCCCTCTGGCTCCAGCCGCATCACGGGTCAGAGCTGGGTGAACACCGTCCAGGCCCTGCTGGAGCTCATGCCCTGGAGACATCCAGGAGGGTTCCATGGAGGAGGTGTCCTCTGATCCACTCTTGAATGCCATGGCCAGGCTGTGAGACGGCCTAGGAGGCACGTTCCAGTCACCTTATTGCATAGGCTGGGCCGGGAGGAGAGCCCAGCTGCTCACTCTGCACAAACCCCAGGGAGCATGTGGGGGACCATCGGGGTGGCGGCTGGGGCTCCGGGGCTGTGGGCTGGAGTAGCAAGGCCTGGAGGCCAGCTGAGGCTCTGGCCTGGACCTTAGCATGTCAGCGCACACACACACACACACTGACACGCATACACACATAGGTGTACATACACATAGGTGTATATACACACACGTACATACGCGTGGCACATGCCCACACACACAGACACACACACTGTTGTGTGTTCATGCTGTGGGTATTAACTAGACACCAACTGCATACCCCATGCTCGGCTCTGGTGAGGGGACCAGACTGCCTTTTCCCCCTGCAGGGACGCCCAGGGGTCAGCTGGGAGTGATGGGGAAGTGAGATCTGGAGGTTTCTGGAAAGCCTAGGCAGTTGGGCAGGTCCCCTCACCTCTCCCCTGGGGGACATCCAGGTCTCCCCGGAGCCAAGCCCTCTGGGCCCCCAGTACCCCTGTCCTATGGCCCCAGAACAGCTTTGCAGGTGTCGGGCACCCTCTTGTGGCCAGGCCGGGTATCACAGGCCCCTCAGGGACTCCCCACCCCTGGCCTCCAGATTCCTTCTCTCTGCCCCCTTCCCGTTCTTCCTGGGAGAGTGACCATGCTTCGCCAGCCCCCAGTGAGGGGCAGGGTCTGCCCAGGAGGGGCCCCGGGTGGTCAGGGCCAGCCCCAGCCTGCCTCCGCCTCTCATCCCCCCATTTGTGTGCCCCCTCCCTCCGCAGGGAGTTCCCAGTGGCCCCGAACAGGGCCCCCCGGTGCCTTATCACCCAGCTATGATGGGGGTCTCCATGGCCTGGTGAGTTCTCCTGCCCCCTGTCCTGACCTCCAAGGATGTGGGGTGGGGGAGCCAGTTTCTGGTGAGTGCGTGCAGCTGAAGAGGTGCCCACAGCGGGGGGCCATGTGTGCGGACAGACACGGTTCCCAGTGCAGATGTGGGACCCAGTGGGGGTGTCTTATGTGACTCTGAATTCTGTGACTTTTTAAAATTGTGTCATGGAAAGCAGCCATTGGTCTCGTGACAATTTTATAAGACAGACACCCCTCGGGTAGAAAAATCTTGATTAAGAGCTTGTGGGCGGCCAGCACAGTGGCCCTGTGGCTGGCGAACGTCACGATTTGAGCCAGGCCACGTCCAGAGCTATAAATGTGGCCGCCCGCTGCTTGGGGGGTCCTGTCCTGGGGCCCCGGTCGCAGCCACTCCCCGCCCCTCCCCGCAGCAGAACAAGCTGGAGGACCACTTGGATGAGGCCATCCACGTGCTGCGCAGCCACGCCGTGGGCACGGCCGGCGACATCCACGGGCTGCTGCCTGCCCACGGCGCGCTAGCCTCAGGCTTCGCCGGCCCCGTCATGCCGCTGGGCGGCCGGCACAGCAGCCTGGTGAGCACTGGGCAAGGGCGGCGGGGGGCGGGGGACCCACCCAGTGCTGACATGCTGCATCCACTGTCCACAGGTTGGAGGTGGCCACGTGGACGACGGCCTGACAGGCAGTGCCGGCCTCCTGCACAACCACGTGGCCCTCCCCAGCCAGCCCAGCACCCTCCCCGACCTCTCGCGGCCACCCCCCGACTCGTACAGCGGTAAGGCCTGTGGCAGGGGCTGGTCAGGGGTGGCTGGAAAACGGGGGGCAACGGGGAGGCCCTGTTTGCCAAGAGACAAGGAACCAAGAGCCGCCACGCAGGTCTGAGGGCCCGCTCTCTGCCAGGTGCACACATCTTCGCAGCCACCTGAGAGTCACAACTGGTCGGCCCCCGTTTCTGGCGGAGGAAACTGAGGCATGGTGGGAATGGAGATGGGACCCCCCGCTCTTGTGCAGTTTTGAGGAGGGGGGTCAGGGAGGTGAAGAGGCGACGTTTGAGCGGAGTCTGGGAGGAGGTGAGAGCAGGCAGCGGGAACAGCATGTGCAAAGGCCCTGAGGCAGGACCCAGCCTGGCACAGTGGGGGAACAGCCAGGGGCCCCATGTGGCTGGAGCGAGTGAGGGGGAGAGAGGAGGAGGGGAGGGCAGGGAGGCGACAGGCATGTGGTGCAGGGGGCCCTGTGCTCGGGGAGGTGGGAGACCTGGAGGGTGGCAGGCAGAGCAGGGACTGGCTGACGCTGTGCTCACGGGCACCCTCTGGTGGCCTGGGGCCGCGGAGGGGGCGAGAGGTGGGAGGATTCGGATGTCTCTTTTTTAATCTTATTCTGTTGTTGTTGAGAGTATACACGGCAGAACGCACACCAATTTAACTGTTCCCTCACGTACAATTTGGTGACGTTCATCACATTCAAGTTGTGCAGCCATTCTCACTTTCCTTTTCTGAGTTGTTCTGCCCCCGTTAACGTGAACTCACTGCCCCCTAAGCTTCCCGTCTGACCTTTTGAGTTGCTGTTGTCAGTTTGATCCCCTATAGATCAAAATTGGACGAGTCTCAAGAGATTTGCAGCTGGATGAGACGTGGGGCAAGGGGGAGAGGGAGAAGGAAGGAGAGAGAGGAGACAAGTACAACCCGGGGCTTCTGGCCGGGGCAGCCGGGGACGGCCGTGTCTGGGGCACGTTTGGGGCCAGATCAGGATTGTCTTGGGATTGTCACGTCTGAGACGCCCTTCAAGAGTGTGAGTCTGGTGTTCACGGCAAGATGTGCTGGAGACGGACAGGCGGGTGCCATTGGCACTTGGGGGGTGGTTTAGAGCCGGGCACCAGACAAGGTCACAGGTGGGAGGAGTGTGAGTGTGGATGGAGCAGAGCCACATCCAAGGCCGGGCAGGGGGAGGGGACGTGGCGGAGCACAGGGGCCTGGGGCCGAGGCGGACAGGGCCCCTCAGAGGAGCTGCGGACTAGGACTGGGCCAGCATGGGGTCAGACGACTGTGTGGCACAGCACCGGGTGGAAGCGTTTTTCTATCTGGGAAGGAGCCGGAAGGGAGTGAGGTCGAGAGGGTTCTTTCAGAGAGGGAATGATGGCGTGTTGGAAGGTGGATGAGAATGAGCTGGGAGAGGGCTACGGATGGGGTTAGGGATGGGGTTAGGGTTAGGACTAGCGATAGGGTTAGGGTTAGAGCTAGGGTTACTGTTAGGGTCACAGGTAGGGTCAGGTCTAGGGATGGGGTTAGGACTTGGTTAGGGTGAAGGTAAGGTCCTCAGTGGAGACTTCTTGATGGGGTTGGGGGTTGGGGATGGAGTTAGGGTTAGGACTAGCAATAGGATTAGGGTTGGTATTAGTGATGGGGTTAGGGATCCAGTTAGGTTAGAGTGTTAGCAATATTGTTAGGGTTAGTGGTAGTGATGGGGTTAGGGATATGGTTAGGTTAGGGTGTTAGCAATATGGTTAGGGTTAGGGTTAGTGGTAGTGATGGGGTTAGGGATACAGTTAGCTCTAGGTTAGGGTAAGACTGCCGTAGGCCCTTGGGAGAGACATACCACTGGTGGCAAGAGGCCTTGGGATCTGCTGGGGCCAGTAGAGCTCGGGGCCGGGGTGGGAAGGCATGGTGGCAGGATGGGCTGTCCACTAGCCCAGAGGTTTTCTGGAAGGCAGGGCACAGGAGAGGTGCCCACCAGGGTCTGGATCCTGGCTCATGGTGGGCTGGTCCCAGGAGCAGTTAACGCCAACCATGTTCCAGGTGGGGAGACAGAACCCAGAGGGGCTCCTTCCTCTTGCACGCTCCCCCACCCCAACTTGTTGAGAGATACTCCGTTCCATGAAGGTGATGACCGTGATGCACGTTCGTGACAACACTGGGTGGGGGGTGGAGGTTCCCGGGGACCCCCCACAACCCCAGATCAGGGCCAGTGCCCCCGAGCGTGTCCGGCCCCCATCCCGGCCCCCACATGGTGACTCTGCTCTCCTGGGGTTTCTGTGTCCAGTTCTCCTGCCTGAACGCCTCAACCTCCCCCCGTTTTTTATTATGGGATAAAATTCAGACACAAAAAGACACAGAAACCAAATGTACAGCTCAATGAATTATTTCTAAGTCCAGCACCTTCCTAACATCCACCCAAGTCAAGAACTAGAGCGAAGTCAGCTACCCCAGGAGCCCTGTCCCAGACCCCATGCCCACGTCCAGTCACAGCCCCGCCTCCTCACCTCCCCACCTCCTCACCTCCTGACCTCGAAAACCTCCACCGACTCCTAACGTCACCGCGTCCTTGCGCTCTACACCAGGCGTTCTCACCCAGGGGACACTTCGTGATGGCTGGGGCCATTTGCGGTAGTCACGACTGGGGGTGTTACTGCTGGCATCGAGTGGGTGGAGGCCTCTGACCTGAGTGTCTTGGCGGACAGCGCCCTGTCTCTCCTCGTCCTTCCCTGTTTATCTGTTGGAGAACACAGCCGTTCCAGGGTCGGCATTTGCCGATCACATCTCAGCGCAGCTGACGACAGCGTAGGGTTCCTCTCGGGCTCCCTGTTTTGTTTTATAGCATTTGTTGTTGGGTACCTTCGAGTCAGTCCAACTAAGAGTGACCCCATTCGATAGAATAGAACTGCCCCATAGGGTTTCCTCGGCTGTAATCTTTACAGAAGCAGATTGCCAGGCCTTTCTCCTGCTGAGCCCCTAGGTGGGTTTGAACTGCCGGCCTCCTCGTTATCAGCTAAGCGCCATTGCACTGCCAGGCCTCCTACGGTTTCAGCTTGGTAAAAAGACACTGTGCTGGAGCCTCCTGCTGCCCCCTGGTTTACGCGCTCCACATGGCGTCTGATCCGCCTGTGTCACGCCTAGCTCAGGTCAGGTCTTCTGTTGTGAACGCACGCCAATGTGGCAACCCCTGGGGTTTAGGGTGTCTCCCTCTCCATGCCTTTGTGGTGCGTGCTGCCCAGAACGTTCCCATACATGGCTTCTGTGCGCGTGCTCAAGAGTTTCCCAGGTGTGATGATTCTGGGTGCCTCTGAGTCGATTCCGACTCATGGTGACCCCATGTGACAGAGCAGAACTGCCCTGTGGGGTTTCCTAGGCTGTAATCTTTTTATAAATTGTAATTTAGATGAAGGTTTACAGAGCAAATTAGTTTCTCATTAAACAGTTAGTACACGTTTTGTGACATTGGTTGCCAACCCCACGACATGTCAACACTCTCCCCTTCTTGACCTTGGGTTCCCTATTACCAGCTTTCCTGTCCCCTCCTGCCTTCTCATCCTTGCCCCTTGGCTGGTGGGCCCCTTTAGTCTCGTTTTGTTTTATGGGCCTGTCTAATCTTTGACTGAAGGGTGAACCTCAGGAGTGACTTCAGTACTGAGCTAAAAGAGTGTCCGGGGGCCATACGCTCAGGGTTTCTCCGGTCTCGGTCAGAGCAGTAAGTCTCATCTTTTTGTGTGAGTTAGAATTTTGTTCTACGTTTTTCTCCAGCTCTGTCCGGGATGCTCTATTGTGATCCCTGTCAGAGCAGTCAGTGGTGGTAGCCGGGCATCATCTGGTTATACTGGACTCAGGATGGTGGAGGCTGTGGTAGTTGTGGTCCATGAGTCCTTTGACTCATCTTTCCCTTGTATCTTGTTTTCTTCATTCTCCCTTGCTCCCAACGGGGCGAGACCAGTGGAGTATCTTAGATGGCTGCTCACAAGCTATTAAGACCCCAGGCACTAATCACCAAAGTAGGATGTAGAACATTTTCTTTATGAACTGTGTTATTAGGCTGTAATCTTCACAGGAGCAGATTGCCAGGTCTTTCTCTTGTGGAGCCACTGGGGGGTTTATACCACCAACCTTTCAGTTAGCACCTGAGTGTTTACCCATTGTGCCCCCAGGGCTCCCAGTGTGATATTAGGTTGTGGAATTTCTGGGCGTGCCCGTCTGCCTTTTCAAGATAATCTCCAGTTGTTTTCCAAAGTGGTTGTACCAGCTGATCCTCCCAGGAGCAATATTTAGAAGTGTCAGGCCTCTCAAATTTGCCAACCTCGTGGTATGAAATGGTAGTGCCTTGTGGTCCTCATTGGTGTTTCTCAATTTCTGGATGCGATAAAGCGATTCTCATGTTTCCAGCCACGGCCCTTTCTTCATCTACGAAATGCCCATTCAGGTTATTTCGCCCTTTCTCTATTGAGCTGTTTCTCCATTTCTAATTGATTAGTTGGTGCTCTTTATATATTTTGGCTACCATTCCTTTGTTGGTTATATACACTGCACATACCTTCTCTTACTGTGTGGCTTATCTTTTTATTTCCTTTGTGGTGTCTCTTGATGATCAGAAATTCTGTTTCAGTATAGTCGACTTTATCGATGTATGTTTCTGCTGAGAACGGCTCTTTTGGTGTTTTAAGAAATAGTTTCCTGCCCCTGAGTCACAAAGACACTTTCCTACGGTTTCTTCTAAGGCTTGGAAAGTCTTGCCTTTTCCATTCAAGTCCTTAATCTGTCTGGACCTGATGTTTGTGTGTGGCATGAGGTAGGGATCCAGTTCCAGAGAAGATGGTAATATTGTTGTTTTTAATTTTATTGTGGTAAAATACATATAACGATATTTGCCATTTCAACCAGTTTTATGCGTACAACTCAGTAACGTTAATTACATCCTTCATGTTGTGTAGCCATCACCATTGTCCATGTCCAAATTTTTTTCATCATCCTAAACACAAACTTGGGGGTCAGCAGTGGTTCAGTGATAGAATTCTCCTCTCTCGTGCAGGAGACCCAGGTTCGATTCCTGCCCGACACACCTCACACGCAGCCACCACCCATCTGTCAGTGGAGGCTTGTGTGTTGCTATGATGCCGAACAGGTTTTAGCGGAGCTTCCAGACTAAGACAGACTTGGAAGAAAGGCCTGGTGATCGATGTCTGAAAATCAGCCAGTGAAAACCCTCTGGATCACACTGGTTCTAGCTCACTGTGCACGGGGTCACCATGAGTTGGGGGCCGATTCAGCGGCAGCTGACAACGAACAAACAGAAACTCAGTGCCCTTGGAGCAGTTGTAGTTGGGTGTTGCCGACTTGATTCCGACTCCCAGTGCCCCCATGTGACGGAGTAGAGCTGTCCCATAGGGCTTCCTAGGCTGTCATCCTTATGGGAGCAGATCGCCAGGTCTTTGTCCCGCAGAGCTGCTCAGTGGGCTCAGACTGCTGACCCTTTGGTTAGCAGTCAAGCACTTAATTGTTGCACCAGCTGTGCTCCTTCCTTAAGCATTAAACCAAAAAAAAAAAACACAAACCTGTTGCCGTCGGGTCAATTCCGACTCCTAGCGACCCTATAAGACAGAGTAGCGTTTCCAAGGAGTGGCTGGTGGATTCAAACTGCCGACGTTTTGGTTAGCAGGTGAGCTTTTAACCACTGCGCCACCAGGACTCCTGAATTCCAGTTTTTTAACAAATGAAAACCTGGTTGTCCCAGGGGAGCTCGTGCCCCTTGTGAGATGGACAGAGGGCCCCCCGTCAGGGGCCACATGGAGTGGATTGCTGCCCTGACCCTGGGCCCATTGCAGGACTTGGGCGGACAGGTGCAGCCTCGGGTGCCGGGGAGATCAAGCGGGAAGAGAAGGAGGACGAGGAGAACGCGTCAGTGGCCGACAACTCCGAGGAGGAGAAAAAGGAGCTGAAGCCCCCCCGGACCCGGACCAGGTGCCAGCCCCCCGCGCACGCGGCCCCACGCCCCAGTACACGTGCACGCGCGCACACACACATACACACACACACACACACACACACTGCCCAGACTGGGAGGCGGCCAGGGGCCCCTCGCCCCACCCCTCCACCTCACACTGTCCCTCTGGCCCCCCGGCCCCCTCCCCCGTAGCCCAGAGGAGGACGAGGACGACCTTCTCCCCCCCGAGCAGAAGGCCGAGCGGGAGAAGGAGCGCCGCGTGGCCAATAACGCGCGGGAGCGGCTGCGGGTGCGCGACATCAATGAGGCGTTTAAGGAGCTGGGCCGCATGTGCCAGCTGCACCTCAACAGTGAGAAGCCCCAGACCAAACTGCTCATCCTGCACCAGGCCGTGTCGGTCATCCTGAACCTGGAGCAGCAAGTGCGAGGTCAGTGGGGGCCGCCCGCCGCCCCCCACCTCCCTGCCGCCCCCCTGCCCGCTGCCCCCGGCCTTTGCCTCTCCGCACACGGGAGGCTCTTCTCTCCCAGTCCTGGGCCCTCCACCCAGAATGCTTCCCCCGGATCCTGGTGGGCCTCTGCCCGCCAGCCCTTCCTTCCCAGGAAGCCCAGAGCCCCGCTCGCTCGTGGGGGCCCGGAGGCGCCAGTATACACTCCACTCGCGCCTCCCTGTCACACGGATGCCACACGGGCAGCCCCCTCCCCCTGACTCAGTTTCCTCCTCTGCACAGAGGGTTATCACAGCCATCTCCTGGGCCACGGGAGGTTGACAGATAAAGAAATCACTCCCCCCCAGATGTGACTTGGCCTGTCCCTGTCCCCGCCATGTGACTTGGCCCTGTCCCTCGCCCTGCCTGGCCTCTCCCCCACCCCCCTGCTGGCAGCTGCTTCCTTAACGCCTTCTCTCTTGCGTGGCCCGTTAACCCTTTCTCTCCTGCAGCGCTGTGCTTGGACTGGAGCTGGGGCCGCGGCCCCCCGCTGTCCCCTCTTCCACTCTGAGGTTTTTGTGTTTCCACAATGGGGGGGGTGTCATGCCATGCATCCCCCCTCCCCTGCCTCTCTGCTCTCTCTCACGCTCACCCCACCCCGGCCCCTCCCTACCTCGCACTTGCTGCCCAAGCTCGGGGACCACCCGACGGGGCCACAGCCTCGGGCCTTCCCTCCCCCCGAGTCCCCAGCTGGGACGTGGGGATGGAAGGAGCGGGGGCCATGCCCGCCTCGGTCTGCACGGACAGTTTGGTCTGCGCGCTTGTCCAGGGCCCCAGGGCCACCGCCACCTGAGGGACCCGCTCTGGCCTGTGGGTGGGGTGTGGGCAGTGCCCCCAGGAGCAGGGCAGAGCACAGGGGGGTGGATCTGGCACAGCTGTCCTGTCTTCACGCCCAGCTCGGCTGAGCTTCACCCGTGTGGGCTGATTTTTGCAACAGTGTAGTTCAAGGGGTGCTGTGCTTGAAGTCGGCCTCCTTCCCACCAAGGGGGAAACTGAGGCACAGAGCAGCAGACTCAGTTGTCCAGAGCCACCCAGCTAACAGGGCCCGGGTGGGACTGAGCCTGGGGTCGGACGTCTGTGCTGGCTGTGCTGGCCACAGCCTGAGGGGTGGTTTCGGCTCTGCGCCGGCTGGGGGCTGGGGGCTCTGGGCTCGGAGCCACTGCTGGCACTTTCTTAGCAGTGAGACAGCCAAGGTCCTGGAGGAAGCTTAGGTCTGGGGTAGGGTTGGCACTGCCTCGTCCTGCCGCCCTCTTGCAGGGCCAGTGGTGGCCCAGGTCCCATCCAGGCCCAGCTCTAGAGAGCTAGGCTGGGGCAGACACATTTCTGGGGATGCTGGGGTCTCAGGGCTAGCTGGTTTGCTCCTCATTGTCTGACACCAGGGTTCTCCCTGGGCAGGTCAGAGGCCAGGCCTAGCTTTCCTTGCCCAGCAAGGGGCTGCTCTTCTGGGAAAGGTCGTCCTTCCGGAGGGAGGAAGGGGCAGAGAGGGGCACTAGAGCCCCTGGCCTCCCTGGCCCCATCCTGGAGCACATGGCATGGACCAGGGGCAAGGTGGACCGACTCCCCTGTAGACTCCCCAGTGTGGAATTGAGGCCCGCCTCCCTCCCCATCAGACCTCTTGGGAACAGCCTGTCCTCAGCCCTCCTTGGCGTGGCCACGCAGCCGGGGCCCGCACCACATTCCACGGGAGTGTTTCCTCCCCAATACACGGTGATGAGCCCACACGCAGATGAGCATGTGCTCACAGTGTGAGCGCACACATGCACACGCAGCCTGTCACCACGTACCCACACTGTATGCCACCCACACTAGCAGTGTACCCTGTCCAAGCTGGTACGCACACCAACAGTGTACCCACGCTGGTACGCACACCAACACAGCATACCCACGCTGGCACGTGCATCAACACAGTGTACCCACGCTGGCACGCGCACCAATACCAGCATGTACCCACGTTGGCACGCGCAGCAGCACCAACAGTGTACCCACACTAGTACGCACACCAACACAATGTACGCACACCGGTACGCACACCAGCACCGTGTCCCCACAATGGTACGCACACTGACACGCCGTGTCCCTACCCTGCACGTGCCCCGACTAACGGGCTGGTGCTGTGCACCCAGCAGTGCGGAGGAGGTGCTGTCCCTGGAGGAGAAAGACCTGAGGGACCGGGAGAGGCGCATGGCCAATAACGCGCGGGAGCGGGTGCGCGTGCGGGACATTAACGAGGCCTTCCGGGAGCTGGGCCGCATGTGCCAGCTGCACCTCAAGTCGGACAAGGCGCAGACCAAGCTGCTGATCCTGCAGCAGGCCGTGCAGGTCATCCTGGGCCTGGAGCAGCAGGTGCGAGGTACGCTTCCGGCCCCGCCCGCCGCCGCCGCCGCAGCCGCCGCCTCAGGCCGCCCCACCAGGCGCGCGCTCGGAGGGATTCGGCGCTGCTCTCTGTCCTCTCTCTGGCTGGTGCAGACCCCGGATGCCCCCGCCTACCCGGCCTGTTCTTCTCCACCCCCCAGCCCCACATGCCCTGTAACCCTCAACCTTCTCAAGGAGGCGACAAGGTGGCGGCCAGCTGTGTGGGAGCCCCCACCCTCCCCGACACCCCCCCCCACTGCCACCCCGGACTCCCCCTCGCAGGGACCGTCTCCCACCGTGCTCTCCTTCTCCCCCCTAGAACGCAACCTGAACCCCAAAGCAGCCTGCTTGAAACGTCGAGAAGAGGAGAAGGTGTCCGGCGTGGTCGGGGACCCCCAGATGGTGCTGTCGGCCGCCCACCCGGGCCTGGGGGAGGCCCACAACCCCACCGGGCACATGTGAGGTACGCACGGACCCGGGTCATTGTCTGCAGGATGGGTGTATGGTCCCTTCCTCACGCACACCTGCCCTCGGCACTGACTCACCGGGTCCCGAGTGACAGTTCTGCACGGTGACCCCCGGTCCATGCCCCTCACCAGCCTCCCCCCACCCAGGTCCAGGCTGCAGTGCCCCATGAGGCCCGATGACCCCGAATACACATCTCAGCCTCCAGCCCCCCACCCGGGGCTGAAAGGGGCATTTTTTTTTTTTTTTGGTAATGAAAGATAAAAGAAGTGGAAAAGCGCGCTAGAAAATACACACTCTGACCAAGAAGAAGAAGAAGAAAATGCCTTAAGTATCCCGCACGGAGTCGTCGAAACATATCACGTCCTGGAGGGGAGACGGTGTGAACCTGGCTTGTTCTTCAAGAGCCACCAGCAAATTGTGCCTAAGCCTAATATTTTTTTTAAGGAAAATAAAAAAAGAACGTTAGTTACGAGATTTTTTTTTTTTTTAACGTAGAAGAAAATTAGCGAGGATGTTGCCTTTGGTCTCGTTTTTTTTTAAAAAAAAAAAAAAGCTTTTTTTGCATATGTTTTGTAAGCAACAAATGTTTTTGTATAAAAGTCTCGTGTCTCTTGCTATTTCTGCTGCTGTTTCTGGAGCCGAGCGGTGCATTTTATCACGATCAGCCAGATGATTAAACGTTGTATGAAAATGATCGGCTGTAAGCCTGAGCCCCCCTCCCCTCCAACCTCTGCTCTGGAAAATGCTGGACGGAGCCGGGCCGAGGGGCTGTGTGGTCTCATGTCTCGTTTTGGAGGCATTGAGGGGCTTGCTTGGTTCGACAGGGTTTCAAGGAGTGGACAGGGTGCTTCCCGTGGGTGTGGCCCTTTCTGGGGCACCCCTGCCCTGCCCTTGCCCTCCTTGCCCCCACTGGGAGTGGGCTGTGCTGAAGGCAGCCACCATCCTCAGAAGAAACCTCCGGGGACCCCCTGGCTGCTTTGCTTGGGCTCCAACGATTCACTTGCCCCTTTTCCCAGCCTGTTCACTGTGATGTCCCTCCACCACAGCCCCCACCCAGCCTGGAACCCCACCAGTGTCCCCTTGGAGCTCACAGAACTTTCTAGAACTTGGGATCTTGTGGATACTGACACTGCCTGGCGTGGGGCCCGGGCATGTCCCTAGACACCTGTCCTTCGTCCCTTTAACCCCAAGGGGCAGCCCCGGGCCCAGGGCTCCACGCCGCCGCCCTCACCTCGTCCAGGTGTGGCCGGAGGTGGGGATGCAAGTGTTGTGTGCCACAGTGGCCCCTGCTGGCCTGTCTGACTTCGTTCACCAAAACCAAAAACCCAACCCATTGCCGGTCAAGTCAGTTCTGATGCAGGGGGACCCATGTGCTACCTTGCAGAACTGAGCTCCTTCGGGTTTTCTTGGATGTAACGTTTATGGAGGAGTCCTTGGGTGGTGCAGATGGCTGAGAGCATCAGACTAGTAACTGAAAAGTCATCTGTTCGAAGCCGCCCAGAGGCGCCTCAGAAGGCCTGGCACTCTGCTTCCGAAAGGTCACAGCCTTGAAAACCCTATGCAGCAGTTCTGCTCTGATGCACACGAGGTTGGGTTGGAGCTGCCTCAGTGGCAACTGTCACCAACAGTTAGTTAATGGAAACCCAGTGCCAGACCTTTCTCCTGTGGCGCCACTGGGTGGGTTCCAACTGTCAACCTTTAGGTTAGTAACTGACTGCAAACCGTTTGTGCTACCCAGGGACCCTGGCGCTGTGAACACCCAGCTGGAAAACCAAGGGGCTGGGCCACCCTCAGAGTCCTGGTGGCGCAGTGGTTAAGAGCTCAACTGCTAACCAAGAGGTTGGCAGTTCAAATCCATCAGCCGCTCCTTGGAAACCCTATGGGGCAGTTCTGTTCTGTCCTGCAGGGTCACTATGAGTTCGACTTGATAGCAGCGGGTTTGGTTTGGGTTTTTGGGCTACCCTAACTCCGTCCTGCCCGGCACGGAGCCTCTCTCGAAGCCGTCTCTCTGGTCCCCCGAAGGCAACCATCTTGCACCTGATTTACAACTGAAAGCCCCCCCACGCATGGAGCCCCCGAGGTCGCAGCGGAACCAGGTGGTGGGTCACCGTGTACCCCAGGCATGGGGTCAGCCTGCTGGGTGGGTTCCTTTCTTTCTCCTGCCCCTCAATAGAAGCCTTAAGGAACCCCCGGCTGGCTGTGGTCCCCACCCCCCTCGGGCATCTTCCCTCTGTTGCCCGTGAGCACCGAGACCCCCCCTCACCCCCAGTCCAACTGGGTGCCTGAATGCCCCTTCCCCCTCCGGAATTCCCCAAGGCCAGAGCCAGGCACCCAAAGGGAAGTTTAAGGGAAACTCAAGGTCAGCAAAGCCAGCACTCACCCTGGCCCAGGCTCGTGGGCAGGGTTGGAGACCTCGGTCCTGGGGGCCACCTCCTGACCTCAGACCTCCCAGGTCGTCCTACTCATGAAGTGGTCCTGGTGTCTGCCCCCAGGTCAGATCAGGAGACTCATGGGGGGATCCTCCTTTCTTGATGATTCCCCTGCTCTGTGTTGATTTTCTATTTTCGGGGAACCCTAGAAGAGGCCCCTGCCTCAGTTTCCCTTGTCTTTTAGCTTCTGATGTTGCCTTTAACTCCAGATGGCAGGGGCTAAGGGCCCTCCTCGTACCCCCGGGGCCCCGTGCAGTTTGGAACTTCGTGTTATATGTAAAAATCCAGTGGTGCAATAGTGGTTAACCGCTTGGCTGCTAACCGAAAGGTCCGCAGTTCGAAACCATCCGGCAGCTCCGCAGGAGAAAGACCTGGTGATCTGTAAAGATTTCAACCTAGGAAACCCTATGGGGCAGTTCTACTCTGTCACATGGGGTCGCTAAGATTCCGACTCTACGACACCCAACAACAGAACAACTTTTATGATGTGGTCAGACACGCTTCTCACCTGACTTCTCTAGAACTTTACTGGCGACTTTTGACTATTTGTTCTTCCAGATCTTTAAAAATTAAGTTTAAGTTCCCGAATATCCTCTTGGGGTTTTTGTTGGCATTACGCGTAATTTCACATATTGATTTAAGGAACATTGACGCGATGACTGTACTGATCAGTGTGACAGGAATCAAGGAGGTCCCCTGTTCAGGTCCTAGAGTCACCGGGGACATGACTGAGGGCGGTGGGTACAGACCCAGTCACAGCGCAGCCTATCACTAACCCTGCGCTCAGAATGTCCCCTTCACTGAGCTCATTCTCCTCCATCACAGATAGTCAACTTTCACAAAACCCAGTGAGGCAGTGGTACAACTTGCTCAAGGTCACACTGCGACCACACCCCCTGACTCCTAAAGTGTGCTCAAATTCCAGCCCTTCCCTGCGGTTACTTGGGGCAAGTCCCTTTCCCTTCTGGCCTCCGTTGCCTCAATCGTAAAGTAAGCATAATAACGTCCTGACGAACAGTAGTTCCACAAAGTCACCGGTCAAAAGTGCCGAATATTACCGAGAAGAGCGCAAACCAGGGTCCACTCCGACCGCCGGAGCGGAGACACAGAACCCGAGCTGGAGATCACGTGACTAGAAAGTCCCACCCACGTTCACTAATGTCTTCCGGTTCTGCCCGGAAGTGACTGCCAAAGTCTTCCGGATCTGCGCGCGCAGCGGACGGCCCGCAGTCCCCGGGGGCGCGGTGAAGTCTCCCTGCGCGCCTGCGCGCTAGGGCTGCGCCTGCGCACTGCGTCCGGTCCAGTCCAGACCAGGGTCACCCTGAGAGCTCCCGAGTGCCCCGCGATGCTGACCAGATTCCTGGGCCCGCGCTACCGGGAGCTGGCGAGGAACTGGTGAGGGGCGGCCCCACGAGTCCCACCCCGCACTCCCGCCCTCGGCCTGTCCGCGCCGCCTCCACGCGCTACTGCCGCTCTGTCCCCCGTTAGTGCGGGGACCCGCGTTCCCCTGACGGTGGGGAAACTGAGGCCCAGAGAGGGGAAGCGCTGTGTGTTGGATCTGAGGCCAACCATCGAACCTCCGCCCTCCCGCCCGCCGCGACCAGGTGCGGAGGAGCCCCTCGGAGCCTCAGTTTCCCCATCTCTACCTGGGCGCCCACCGAGTCCCTCGACCACGCCGTGTTCCGACTCCCGGCCAGCCACCCTCAGCCCAGATGTTTGGGCCTCCAGCCAAACCTGGACATTTCTGGCCTTTTTATTTGTTTTGATGATTTCTAACAAGGAGCATGAACGCGCAGCTGCTCGTGTCGCTGATCCCACGTGGGAGGCGGGGTGGGATTGGGATGATCCCCCCCCATCGCTCTACATGGGAGCCAGGACTAGGGTGGTGACCCCGCGTGGCAGCCGGGATTGGGGTGCCTTTGGCATGGGTTTGTTTCATGTACAGCGCCAGGACACACTTCCTGGCCCCAGACAGGGGCAGAAAAGCTAGGGGTGGGCCGTCTCAGGACAGCGGAGCTGTCAGGGACCTTTGAGATGGACCCTGATGGTGGCATTTTGCGGCTGACGCCGTCCCTGATGTTACACCGGGCCCGGGGCAGGTGATGCGGCCTCTCCCCTGTGGGCTGGGCTCTCCCAGGTGTGATCTGCCCGTTCCCATCTGCCACCCCTTTTATTCACCCAGCAAGCATTGGGTGCCAGGCCCTGTGTTGCATGCTGGGAACACAGCAATGAGCAAGACACAAGACCCTGCCCTCATCCTGACATCCTAGCTGTAGGAGGGCAACCCACAAGCCAGCAATGAGATCTATCGGGCAGACGGACGGAAGATAGTTAAGGGGAGACAGAGACCTGAAGGGAGGGCCCATGCAGCTCTGTCCTACCAGTCTCTGGCTTCCAGGAAGCATGTCACACCCTCAAGAGACGCTGTGGGGTTTGAGAGACTCCCTGCTCACAGCTGGGGACCCTGCAGGCCACTCCCCTCCCCAGGCTTGGTGTCTTCTCTTGAAAAATGGAAGAAGAGGTTGTCAGAGTATTTTGAAAATGTGCATGATACAACACGCTTGGGAATTATCCACGCCGTCATAAGTCCCCGGGGTCCCAAAGGGGGTGACCAGGACGGTGGGGGAAGCAGAGGCTGGTCACCAAGCACGTTTACCCGACAGGGAAGAGTCCCCTGCTGACCCAGTAACCCCCAGAGCTGTCAAGGGGACTGGCCGGGAGGGGATCCTGCAGGCTCGGTGTGTCGCTGGTGAGGTGGTTTGGGGCAGCTTCCCGCAGGCTGATGGTGCGATTGGGACATGGACCAGTTTTGAATTCTGGAGTTGTCTGCGGGTGAGAGAGGTCTGTGAAGAACGGGGTGGGGCAGGCAACTAGATGTGGGGGGCGGGAGAGGCTTGGAGGATACGACCCCAGTGGGGTCTGACGCCACGTTTCTCTCTCAGGTTGCCCACGGCTGGCATGTGGGGCGCTGTGGGTTCTGTGGGGCTGGTGTGGGCCACAGACTGGCGGCTGATCCTGGACTGGGTGCCCTACATCAACGGCAAATTTAAGAAGGACGAGTGACGAAGCCGCCCTCCCTCCGCAGTTTCCTTTGGTGAGTTGCCATGGCCACTCGAAAGTGCTGGGTCCAGTGGGCTGTTGGTGGGTGAAGCCCCGGACTCCTGGGGTACAGACGTGGTTTCCCCGAAGCTGAGTTCTTGGCACTTCCAGAGCTGGGGGGACGAGGGATGGGGGGCTCCACCTTGGAGAATCCACATGAGGCCTGAATTCTGAGACGGACTTTTCAGGCACCTCTCAGCCCCATTGTCACTGAGCTGCCACCCGGCTGTCTTGGTCAGAGGGTTTGGCGAGCGGGCACTCCCCCTTGGTGCTGTCACTACGGCTCCTGTGCATCAGTGGAGGCCGACGGCGCACCCAGTCCTATGCCTCCAGCCCTGGGCAGGATGGAAGGCAGGCGGCCCCATTTTACAGATGGGGAAAGTTGAGGCTGGGCGCTGGGATGGGCTGCTGTGAGCGATGAGACCTTGGGCGCGCGTGCGCGCGTGCGTGTGTAATACGCAGCAGAATGTAAACCCATATTCATCAGTTTCTGTGAACAATTCCATAACCAGGGCTTGGAACAGGTTCATTCAAATCCCTGCTGAGAATTTGCTTTTCCACCCCAGATATCCTGAATCAAAACCCACGTTTTAACAAGATCCCCAGGTGATTGTTATGTATAATAAAGTTTGAGAGCCACTGCTCTACTAGTGGGTCTCAGAATCGGTCCCTAATCAGCAGCAGCATTAGCGCCTGGGAACTTGTTAAGAGATGCAGATTCTCAGCAGGGGTTCCAAACGGAAGGGAGGAAGCCCCATCAATAACAGTGGTGACATTCTTCACATGTGTCACCATTGTTCCTGTCTCTACGCATATTGTTTCACCACCATTGACTTAGACTCGCTGCCCCCAAAGCTTCTCATCTGTGCTTTAGGGTTACTGTTGACAGTTTGATTTCATACAGCTAATTCTTAAGAGAATGCAAGGCTCATGGTGAACGTTTAGCTAAAGTGTTGTTCAGTTTAAAAATGACTTCAGGGGACAGTTTCAGTTCATGGTTTGAAGACTTTCTCAGAGTGATAAATTTGGGGGTTCCTTCAGTCTCAGTAGATCCAGTAAATCTGGATTCTGTAAGAATTTGAAATTCCGCTCCACATTTTTTTCCCTTTTGATCAGGATTCATCTGTTGATTCCTTGATTGAAGTGTGTTGGGCACCATCCACTTCTTCTGGTCTCATGGCTAAGGAGGCAGTAGTTTGTGGAGGCAGTTAGACCTATGGTTCAGTTCCTTCTCCAGTTCCTAGGTCTCCTTCATCTGGACTGACTTATTTGTCAGAGGTGCTAGTTGCTGTTCTAAGCACTTTTCCTGTATTAGCTCATTGGCCTATGTTTCAGGGCCTGGGGCAGGACTCACCCATCCCAGTTTTACAGATGGGGTCTGAGGCCCCTAAGTGGCCAAGCTACTTTTGAACCTGTGCTGTCTGGATTCACGTCTGCTTCGTCCTACGCGCTCTGCACCTCCCTTCCTGTAAGAACTGCGACCCTGGAGCCTTAATGCCATTTTGGTGTCTGTGATGGGCTGGAGTCCCTGGGCCACTCTGCACCTGGTTATACAGCCAGCTTCACGTAGAAGGGACATTTCTGCTCACTCAGCCTTGTCCCCCTCCCAGGTATCTGGTGGTGCCTGCTTCTCCCATCTCAGCATCTGCTGCGCCTGGAATGGCCGAAGCCCTCACGATGGACATCGAGGAAACCCACAACTCGACTTAAGACTTTTTATGTTTCTGAAAATGGCTTTGATGTATTTATGCACATAGCATTAAACTGCACTCTGAAACCTGCCTTCCGCCTGGATGGTGATCATGCCGGTCGGTGACTCTGTGACTTGGGTATCCTTTCAGCTCCAAAATTTTGCAAATCTAGGAGAGTTTTCCAGTGACTTGCAGACATTGTTTAATTATTTTAAATGTTTTCGTTTATCTATTGCTGCATTAACATCTTATCCCACAACTTAGTGACTTAAAACAACAAAATTCATTATTTCACAATTTCTGTGGGTCAGGAATCCCGGAGTGGTTGAGCTGGATGGTCTTGGCTCAGGGTCTTTCATGAGGTTGCAATCAAGATGGCGGCCAGGACGGCATCATCTGAAGGCTTGACTGGAGCTGGAGGAGCCGCCTCCAAGGTCATTACCTCACATGGCTGTTGGTTGGAGGCCTCGGTTCTTCTCTATGTGGACTGTTCCATAGAGCTGCTTGAGTCTCCTCACAACATGGTGGCTGGCTTCCCCCAGAATTTGTGATTCAAGAGAGAGCAAGGAGGAAGCCCCAGTACCTTTTATGTTCTGTCCTCAGAAGTCACACATCATCATTTCCTCCACATTCTATTCATTAAAAACAAGTCACTAAATCTAGCCCACACTCAAAGGGAAGTGAATTAGCCTCCACATTTTGAAGGGAGGAGTGTCAAAAGAATTTGTACATATTTTAAACCTTCGGAAGAAAAGAACAGGTAAAATGGGTGCTCCTGCCCAGTTCTCTCCAACTCTTGCCAAGTTTTTGAAAATTCTAGAGACATTTTATGCATATATAAGCATAAGTTATGAAAATAGACATGTATTCTTTAACACAGATGGCAGCATTTGCTGTACACTGTTCTACACATCCCTTTTTCACTTAAGGCTGGTTTCTGGGGTCACTGCACTTCAGTAAATGCAAAGCTTCCTCATTTTTTAAACGGCTGCCTGGTATTCTGACAGAAACCCTGGTGGCGTGGTGGTTACAAGCTACAGCTGCTAACCAAAGGGTCAGCAGTTCGAATCCACCAGGCACTCCTGGGAAACCCTATGGGCGTAGTTCTTCTCTGTCCTAGAGGGTCGCTATGAGTCAAAATTGACAGCAACGGTTTTGTGTTTTTTTTTTCCTGGTATTCTGACTTGGGGCCAGACCAACATTTATTAACTAGTCTGTTATTGAAGGACACTTGTTTCTTGCCATTTGCTATTACACTGATACCCTTGTAGTTAGATTATTTCACATGTATGTATATGAATATATCTGTCAGATAAATATGGATGAATAGAATTGTGAAATAAATGAATTACTTGAAAATTTTTTTAAAGAAAAATTTCTAATGCACAGCAGTAGACAGTATTGCAGTCCCCCTGCGGACACCTCACCCAGCTTTTTGCTGTCCGCATTTGCCATTTTATTTCTTCCTCTGTCACCCGTGTCACCAGTGCAGTGCCAAACATGTTGGGGCCTGAAGCAAGAGGAGAAAGACCCCCATGCACGTCTATTAAAGCCAGAAAAGTACAATTAGAATAAATTCACTTTTTGGTACAAATAGAATATTTAAACCTAAAATAACGTGAGTTTTAATGTACCTACTTTTCAGTATTTCAGTACGTTTTCAATGACTTTAATGTTCTGGGGGAAGAAGTTAGCCACTAAAAAAAAAGTACCTAGAAACACGCATATAGGGGCACACGGTTCTCCTTTCACTCTGGGCACCAGTGTGGCTCTGCTCGGCGGGGCAGTTACTGATCCTGTTTTGATTTAAAATATGGATATTTTGTTCCTCATGAGTTTTTCTGCGTTCATTTTGACTGTGTCAAATTCTACATACAACCTGGTTCATCTTGATTGAGCTTGCCTCGCCCTCGTCACCCTAGTCCCAGCCCTGTCTACTACTGATCCTAGAGGTCATTTCATCATGAAGTACTTCAGCACGTCTCAAGTTCTTTTTTTTTTTTTCTTTTTTTTATTGTGGTGAAAACATACACACCAAAACATCTGCAGACACAACTTCCACATTGACAACTCCATGACACCAGTTAAATCCTTCTTGTGAGGTGCTGTGGCATCCGATCCGACTCCTAGCGACCCTATCATACAACAGAAGGAAGCACTGCCTGGTCCTGCGCCATCCTCAGTCGTTACCATGCTGGAGCCACTGTGTCAATCCATCTCGTCGAACCAAAAATAATCTTTGGTTTCCATATATTTGCTTATTTCATATAATTGAGATCATAGTTATTTGTCCTTTTGCAACTGATTTATTTTGCTCAGCCTGACGTTTTCAAGGTTTATCCATGAAAAACAAAGATCACCATGCCATTCTCCCACCAAACAAAACTAACAATCATTCCCTGACACCTTCCAATACCCAGTCATTATTCAAATTTCCCCAGATGTCTGAAAAACCTTTTCACACTTGGCTTATTCAAATCGGGCCAACTGAGGCATTTAATAGTCTAATCTAGAATTGAGGCATCGAGAGCCTCTTCTCTCTGTGCCCTGTGCTGCGGACTTGCTGAAGACGCTGGGTCACTGGTGTGTAGCCTTTCCCACCCTCCGCGTTTGGCAGTTGCACCTCCGCGTTACCGTTTAAAGCGTCCGCTCAGACCCGGCGGCAGGTGGACGCTGCTCGCGACGGCAAAGGGCGCAGTCACGGGCGGGCGCGGGACAGGGCGCCAGGCCGCTGGGGGCCACGCCCTCGCCAAGCGTGCGGATTTCTTGGCCGCCGCGGAGCCCGCTCGGACACCGGGGCGGACCCGGCAACCGAGGGCCACGCCCCTCCTACACGCTGATTGGCTTTGTCACAGGGGAGCTCCTTGGATTCCTAGGGGCGGGACCGTTAGCCGAAAGCCACGCCCCTCCGGGCTCTGATTGGCTTGGTCCCAGCAGGGCGCACTCGGACACTTGGCGGTGGGTCGGCAGCCCAGGACCACGCCCCTCCCACGCGCTGATTGGCTTGGCCACAGCAGCGCGCCCTCGGACACCAGGAGGCGGGCCCGGCAGCAGATGGCCACGCTCCTCCCGGCTCCGATTGGCTCGTCC